GCTCCCCCACCCCAGAGGTGCCACATCTCAGCGCAGGCAAGGGTCCCTGGGTCACAACCAGCCGCCCTGCCCCAGAGGTGGCTGCATCTCAGGGCTGGGTGAGGGGTCCCCGGGTCACAACCAGCCACCCTGCCCCAGAGGTGGCCGCATATCAGGGGAGGGGTCCCCGGGTCACCAGCTGCCCCCACCCCAGAGGTGGCCACATCTCAGCGCCAGGCAAGGGTCCCTGGGTCACAACCAGCCGCCCTGCCCCAGAGGTGGCTGCATCTCAGGGCTGGGTGAGGGGTCCCTGGGTCACAACCAGCCGCCCTGCCCCAGAGGTGGCCGCATATCAGGGGAGGGGTCCCCGGGTCACAACCAGCTGCCCCATCCCTGAGGTGGCCGCATCTCAGGGCTGGGCAAGGGGTCCCCAGGTCACAACCAGCCGCCCCCCCCCCAGAGGTGCCCGCATCTCGGGGCCAGGGGAGGGGTCTCTGCGTCACCAGCCACCCCGCCCCAGAGGTGGCCGCATCTCAGCGAGGGGTCCCTGTGTCACCAGCTATGCCCCCCCCCAGACGTGGCTGCATCTCGGGGCTGGGCGAGGGGTCCCCGGGTCACCGGCCGCCCTACCCCAGAGGTGGCTGCAGATTAGCTTCGCCCTGCTGTAGCAGGAAGCAGAGGCGAGATGGGTTTGTACCAGTGGGGGGTGTCTCCGCCCTGGGGGTACGCCGAGGTCTTCCGGGGGGGTGGGGGTGCGACATCTCCTCGAGATACTTGCCTCAATTTCCAACAGGTGGGCGAAGCCAGGCCAAGTTCAAATTTCGGACCATGTCCTGTTTACACCGCTCCGGATCCTCCCCACTACCGGGTCTGGCCCAGGTTTACTGGGGACCGAACTGGTCACGCCTGGGTGGTTGTCTGGTTTCGGGTGTAATTTGGGGGGCGGGGCCGGAAGCCCAATCAGCCCCCCGCCAGGGGGACAGGCCGAGCGTGGCTGGTTTACACGGCAGGCAGGAAACCGGGCAGAAGCGGCCGCGGCTCTGGATCCGGTGGCTTCGCACCTTTTAATCCGGTTTCAGGCTTTTTTGTGCCTTTTCCCACCCCATTGCCAGCCCCCGACAGGGGAGGCAGCCGCCTGTGGTAGCGTGGCCGAGCGGTCTAAGGCGCTGGATTTAGGCTCCAGTCTCTCCGGGGGCGTGGGTTCGAATCCCACCGCTGCCAGAAGAAGTTTTTTTTTGGGGGGGTGCGTTTATAGCGCCACCCCCAACAGGAAGCACCCGCTTGGTTGGGGTGGGGGGGGGGAGCCAGTCTCTCCTTCCAGGGAAGGGATTTTAGCTCCGCTGTGTTGGTGGGGTAGCGGGGAGCGGAGCCGGCTTCCAACTTGCGGGGCCTGGTTCGATTCCCGGCCAAGACAAGTTGGCTTTTCACCGCCGATTATTTTAACCCCTTCACCACCATAAAATCCTTTCCCCCCCATGGCTCAATCCCGGCCCCTTGCTAGCCCAGCCCTGTGCCCCTCACTCCTGACCTGCAGCCCCCTGGGCTCCCCCCCCATCTCTGCCGGTGCCCCTCACTCCTGACCCGCAGCCCCCTGCCCCCCACAGCCCTGGGCTCCCCCACCCCAGCTCTGCCGGTGCCCCTCACTCCTGACCCGCAGCCCCCTGCCCCCCATAGCCCTGGGCTCCCCCACCCCAGCTCTGCCGGTGCCCCTCACTCCTGACCCGCAGCCCCCTGCCCCCCACAGCCCTGGGCTCCCCCACCCCAGCTCTGCCGGTGCCCCTCACTCCTGACCCGCAGCCCCCCAGATATGGCGGACTGAGGCCATGTGGGGCGATTGTTCCGGGCAGGAGCCAAATTCTAGGAGGTCTCCGGCGGGAGGCATCCGGAGCGGACCCGGCCGAAGAGCCTCCCCCGGCCCCCCCGGGGGACGCCTGGCCAGAGGCCCTGGCCGCCAGATGTTGCGGGGGAGAGAAGTGGGGCGGGCGCTCGGTGCAGATGCAGGAGTCTCCGGGGGCTTGGCATGTAGGGGGCGGGGAGGTGGGGGGGTCAAGCAGCTGCCGAGCTGGGGCCGGATCTGGGTCCTGGAGCTGTTCCACGCACCGGCCACCAGGGGGCAACAGCGACCAGCTGGTGGGCTAGTGCAGTGGGGGCTGAGAGCCAGGACTCCTGGGTTCTCTCCCCGGCTCTGGGAGGGGAGTGGGGGCTGGTGGGTTAGAGCAGGTGGGGGCTGGGAGCCAGGACTCCTGGGTTCTCTCCCCGGCTCTGGGAGGGGAGTGGGGGTGGGTTAGAGCAGGTGGGGGCTGGGAGCCAGGACGCCTGGGTTCTCTCCCCGGCTCTGGGAGGGGAGTGGGGGCTGGTGGGTTAGAGCAGTGGGGGTTGGGAGCCAGGACGCCTGGGTTCTCTCCCCAGCTCTGGGAGGGGAGTGGGGGCTGGTGGTTAGAGCAGGCAGAGGTGGCTGGGAGCCAGGACTCCTGGGTTCTCTCCCCGGTTCTGGGAGGGGAGTGGGGGTGGGTGAGAGCAGGGGGGGCTGGGAGCCGGGACTCCTGGGTTCTCTCCCCGGTTCTGGGAGGGCAGTGGGGGCTGGTGGTTAGAGCAGGCAGAGGTGGGTGGGAGCCAGGACTCCTGGGTTCTCTCCCCGGTTCTGGGAGGGCAGTGGGGGCTGGTGGTTAGAGCAGGCAGAGGTGGGTGGGAGCCGGGACTCCTGGGTTCTCTCCCCGGTTCTGGGAGGGGAGTGGGGGGCTGGGTTAGGGGAATCGCCAGCCCCCTGCCACTCGCAGGATTTCGTTCTCGGGGCCAGGCCCGCGCGGGAGTCCCCCGGCTGCTGTGTGTCCGGGGCAGGGCGACGCACCTGGGCCGGCTCCGGCTCCTCCGTCCGCTTGTTACACACACACTGACGCCTCGCTCGCACACCCAGAGACTCACACACCGCCCCGCACTGCTGACTCCCACAGGCACACAGTGCAACGGCCTGTGTGATACGCTCAGCCTTGCCCGCCCTGACCCACAGACAGCCCACACCCACGCACTCCCACACCGACACTTACTGCCACACACAGAGAGTGCTACACTGAGACACACTCAGACACGCCCCAACACACTCTCTCACGCACACACACACTGAGCGACACACACTCGCTCTCCACGCACAGAAACACACACACACACTCACTCTCACACACACATTGACACTGACACACTCTCACACACAGAAACACATTCACACACAGAGTGACACACACACTCACACAGACACACTCCAACACTCCAACACACACAGAAACACATTCACAGACGCCCACTGATTGATACACACACTCACACGCAGAAACACACACTCACACACATTGACACTGACACACTCACACACTGACTTGCACACACAGTGACACAGACACAAACTGACACACACACTCTGACACCTACACACACACTGACTCACACACTGACACACACACACTTGACACACACACAGACAGACTGACACAGACACAGACACACTGACTGACACACACACACTGACTCTCCCACACACTGAGTGACACACTCACACACACTGACTTGCACACTCACACTGACACACACACTCACACACACACTGACTCGCACACAGACACTGACTGACACACACTCACACACACTGACTGACACTCACACACACTCACACACACTAACTCGCACGCAGACACTGACTGACACACACTCACACACACACTGACTGACACTCACACACACACACTGACTCGCACGCAGACACTGACTGACACACACTCACACACACACACTGACTGACACACTCACACACACACTCACACACACTGACTCGCACGCAGACACTGACTGACATACACTCACACACACACACTGACTGACACACACTCTCACACACACACACTGACTGACACACTCACACACACACACTCACACTGACTCGCAAGCAGACACTGGCTGACACACTCACACACACTCACACACACAAGCTGACTGACACTCACACACACTGACTCGCACGCAGACACTGACTGACACACACACTGACTGACACACACTCACACACACACTGACTCGCACACAGACACTGACTGACACACACTCACACACACACTGACTCGCAAGCAGACACTGACTGACACACACTCACACACACTCACACACACACTGACTCGCACGCAGACACTGACACACTCACACACACTGACTGACACACTCACACACACACGACTGACACACTCACACTGACACACACTCACACACACTGACTGACACACTCACACACACTGACTCGCACGCAGACACTGACTGACACACACACACACACACACTGACTGGCACTCACACACACACACTGACTCGCACGCAGACACTGACTGACACACTCACACACACACTCACACACACACTCACACACACACTCACACACACTCACACACACACTGACCGACACACTGTCACACACACACTGACTGACACACTCTCACATACACTGACTGACACACACTCACACATACACACACTCTCGCACTCACACACACACTGACTGACACACTCACACACACTCACACACACTCACACATTCACACACACACTGACTGACACACACACTCACACACTCTGACTGACACACTCTCACACACACACTGACTGACACACTGTCACACACACACTGACTGTCACACTCTCACACACACTGACACACACTCACACACACACACACTCTCGCACTCACACACACACTGACTGACACACTCACACACACACTCACACACACTCACACACACACTGACCACACACTGTCACACACACACTGACTGACACACTCTCACATACACTGACTGACACACACTCACACATACACACACTCTCGCACTCACACACACACTACTACACACACACTCACACATTCACACACACACTACTACACACACTCACACACTCTACTGACACACTCTCACACACACTGACTGACACACTCTCACACACACTGACACACACACACACACACACACTCTCGCACTCACACACACACTGACTGACACACTCACACTCACACACACTCACACACACACTGACTGACACACTCTCTCTCTCTCTCGGGCTCCCCACCCGGCCTGTTTCCTGTCACTCGCGCTCCGCGCTCCCGGCCCCCGCCCGGCCCCGCACGGACCCGCCCCGATGCCCCGGCCCGGGCCGGGCGGAGCGAGGGGCGGCGGGTCCATGGGGCGCAGGCGGCGGCGGGCGCGGGCCGGGCGGGCGCTGGGGCTGGCGGCGGGGGCCGCGCTCGGGCTGGCCGGGCTGGGGCTGGTGCTGGCGGCCTGGGCCTGGGCCCGGAGCACCCCGAGGGTGAGTGACCGGGACCCCCCCCCGCGCCCCCGCCGGGGACCCCCCCGGGCCCCCCGCGCCCCCAGCCGGGGACCTATAGCGGCCCCTCCCCGCGCCCCCAGCCTGGGACCCCCCAGCGGCCCCCCAGACGCTCCCCCCCAGCGCCCCCTCCCCGCGCCCCCTGCCACGGCCCCCCCCAGCCTAGGGACCCCCCAGCGGCCCCCCGCGCCCCCAGCCTGGGACCCCCCCAGCCAGGAACCCCTCTAGGGGCCCCCCGCGCCCCCAGCCGGGGACCCCGCCAGCGGCCCCCCGCACCCCCAGCCGGGGATCCCCCAACCAGGAACCCCCCCAGCGGCCCCCCCAGCCTGGGACCCCCCCAACCAGGAACCCCGCCAGCGTCCCCCCAGCGCCCCCAGCCGGGGGCCCCCCAACCAGGAACCCCCCCAGCGGCCCCCCAGCGCCCCCAGCCTGGGGACCCCCAGCCACGAACCCCCCCCCCAGCAGCCCCCGCGCCCCCAGCCGGGGACCCCCCAGCGGCCCCCCGCGGCTCCAGAGGCTCCCCCAGCGCCCCCCAGCCTGGGACCCCCGCCCCACCTGGCACCCCCAGCCTGGGACCCCCTAACGGCCCCCCAGACGCTCTCCCCCCGTGCCCCCTCCCCGCGCCCCCAGCCACTGCCCCCCCCAACTTGGGACCCCCCAGCGGCCCTTCCCCGCGCCCCCAGCCTGGGACCCCCGCCCCACCTGGCACTCCCAGCTTGGGACCCCCTAGCGGCCCCCCAGACGCTCCCCCCCGCGCCCCCTCCTTGCGCCCCCAGCCAGAGAACGCCCCTAGTAGCCCCCCCAGAGCTCCTCTCCTCCACCCCCCCCCGCGCCCTTCCAGCGCCCTCCACGCCTCGAGCCCCCCCAGCACCCCCCGGGTTCCCCGCCCCCACGGGTTGAGTGCCTGGGACCCCCACGTTCGCCCCCCCCCGCCCCGCAGGCGCAGGGGGGAGGGGCTGGGCCCCAGGCCGCGGGAGAGGGCGCCGGGAGGACGTGGTGGGGGAGGGGAAACCCACAGGGCTACCCCCCCACACACACACCGCAAAACAACCGCCCCCCCGCTACACACACACACAGCACACGGCCCCCCACACACACCACAAAACAACCACCCCCCACACACACACAGCACACAGCTACACAACCCCCCCCACACCACAAAACAACCGCCCCCCCCCACACAGCACACAACCCCCCCACACACCACAAAACAACCGCCCCCCCACACACAGCACACAGCTACACAACCCCCCACACCACAACCCCCCCCCCCCACAAACAACCGCCCCCCCCACACACACACAACCCCCCACCACACACAGCACACAACCCCCCCACACCACAAAACAACACAAAACAACCGCCCCCCCCACACACACACAGCTACACAGCACACAGCTACACAACCCCCCCACACCACAAAACAACCGCCCCCCCCCCACACACAGCACACAACCCCCCCCACACCACAAAACAACCGCCCCCCCACACACAGCACACAGCTACACAACCCCCCACACCACAAAACAACCGCCCCCACCCACACACAGCACACAACCCCCACACACACCACAAAACAACCACCCCCACACACACACACAGCACACAGCTACACAACCCCCCCACACCACAAAACAACCGCCCCCCCACACACACACAGCACACAACCCCCCACACACCACAAAACAACCGCCCCCCCCACACACAGCACACAGCTACACAACCCCCCCCACACCACAAAACAACCGCCCCCCCACACACACACAGCACACAACCCCCACACACACCACAAAACAACCGCCCCCCCACACAGCACACAGCTACACAACCCCCCACACCACAAAACAACCGCCCCCACACACACACACAGCACACAACCCCCCACACACCACAAAACAACCGCCCCCCCACACACACAGCACACAGCTACACAACCCCCCCACACCACAGAACAACCGCCCCCCCGCTACACACACACACAGCACACGGCCCCCCACACACCCACAAAACAACCACCCCCACACACACACACAGCACACAGCTACACAACCCCCCCACACCACAAAACAACCGCCCACACACACACAGCTACACAACCCCCCCACACACCACAAAACAACCGCCCCCCTACACACACACACACACACAGCACACAGCTACACAACCCCCCCCACACCACAAAACAACCGCCCCCGCTACACACACACACACAACACACAGCTACACAACCCACACACACACCACAAAACAACCGCCCCCCGCTACACACACACACCACTACACAACTCCCCCAACACACACAGCCAAACAACTGCCCCCAGCTACACACACACACCGAGGCTACACAACCCCCTCCCACACCACAAAACAACCGCCACCCGCTACACACACACACATCACACGGCCCCCCCACATGGCTCCCCCACACACACCACAAAACAACCGCCCCCTGCTACACACACACACACACCGAGGCTACACAACCCCCCCACACACACCGCAAAACAACCACCCCCTGCTACACACACACAGAGCACACAGCTACACAACCCCCACACACACCACAAAACAACCGCCCCGCTACACACACACACACAACACACAGCTACACAACCCCCACACACACCACAAAACAACCGCCCCCTCTACACACACACACAGCACACATCTACACAACCCCCCACACCACAAAACAGCCCCCCCACCGCTACACACACCACAAAACAACTGCGCCCGCTACACACACACACCACACCACTACACAACCCCCCCAACACACACAGCCAAACAACTGCCCCCCCGCTACACACACACACCCCACACGGCCCCCCACATGGCTCCCCCACACACACCGCAAAACAACCGCCCCCCGCTACACATACACACACAACACAGCTACACAACCCCCGCATCACACACAGTCAAGCAACCGCCCCCCCACTACACACACCACACGGCTACACAACCCCCAACACACACCGCAAAACACCCCCCCGCTACACACACACCCCACATGGCTACACAACCCCCCAACACACGCAGCCAGACAACCGCCCCCCGCTACACAACCCCCCCACACACCGCAAAACAACCACCCCCCCACCTCTACACACACACTCACCACACCACTATACAACCCCCCCCCCACGGCTACACACCGCCAAACAGCCACCACAGCGCTACACACACGACACAACCCCCCCACACAACACCAATCACCCCCCACTGCTACACACACACACACACACCACTACACAACCCCCCCCCCTACACAACCTCCCCACAGCTGCACGTCGCCAAACAGCCACCACACCGCTACACACACCACACAACCCCCCCACTGCTACACAACCCCCCCCACTGCTACACACACAGCTACATAACCCCCCCACTACACACACCATGCCGTTACACAACCCCCCCACTACCTCCCCCTCAACTGCCAAAGAACTGCCCCCCCCAGCTACACACACACAGCCTCCCCCCACGGCTACACAATCCCCCCCCCCACTGCCCAAGTACTGCCCCCGCCAAACCGCTACACACAGCCCCCCTCTTCCACAGCTACACACACCCTGCTTTGCAAACACACCCTGCAACACACAGACAGTCCCCCACATGACTACACAGCCCCTGCACACCCACAGCCCCCACAACACACACAGCCCCACCCCCCCACTGCACACACCCTCCCACACTGCTACACACGCACACACCCTGCTAAAGACAAGCCCCACACCACTACACACAAAGCTCCCCCCACACCGCTACACCCCCCCGCTACACCCAGAAACACACACTGCTCTGCAAACACACACCCGCTACGCACCCACACACACTGCTGGGCGAACACACACATCACCACAGACACACACAGCTCTACAAACACACACCCCACTACACACACTGCTCTGCAAACACACTCCTGCTACACATACACACACGGCTACAGAATCCCCGCACACCGCCAAACAACAGCCCCCCCACACACTACACCCCCCATCCCACACAGCTACACACCCACACTGCTACACACCCAACCCCCCAGACAGCCGAACAACCGCTGCCCCCACACCGCTACACACACACACAGCCCCACACCACTACATATAAAGCCCCCCCACTGCTACACACACACACACAGTGTGTTCTGCAAGCCCCCCCAGCCACACATACACCCCGCTACAAACGCCCCCCCCACTCTGCAAACACACACCCAGCTACACTCTCACACTGCTCTGCATACACCAAGCGTGCACACACAGCCCGCAACACACACACACAGCCCGCAACACACACACACACACTGTTTTGCCAACACATCCCCCTGTACACACACACTTATTCTGCAAACACATAACACTCTAACATACAACACTGTCCAAACACACCCACACAAACCCACATACACACACACAACCTTCCGTGCCTTGATCTGATCTGTGATCTCCCCCCGCACCCCCTGGCTGCAGCCGTGGGTGCTCCCAGCTCCAGATGGAAGGGTCTGGGTGTGTCCCCCCAACCCCACCCTGTGCCTCAGTTTCCCCGTGTGTTGGGTAGGGGGAGGCTGTTGCCTTTCTGGCCATGGGGACAGGGTGGGGTGGCAGCGGGTACACACACTGAGATCCCCAGGGGACACTGCTCTGAATCTGGGCTGGGTTATAGGGCAATGGGGCCAGCCCCGCCTGCCAGGGGAGAGCGCCCCCTGCCGAGCCCCCCGCCTCGCTCCCTGCCCCCTAGCTCCACCCTGGGGCCAGCCCCGCCTGCCAGGGGAGAGCGCCCCCTGCCGAGCCCCCCGCCTCGCTCCCTGCCCCCTAGCTCCACCCTGGGGCCAGCCCCGCCTGCCAGGGGAGAGCGCCCCCTGCCGAGCCCCCCCGCCTCGCTCCCTGCCCCCCTAGCTCCACCCTGGGGCCAGCCCCGCCTGCCAGGGGAGAGCGCCCCCTGCCGAGCCCCCCGCCTCGCTCCCTGCCCCCTAGCTCCAC